ACTTTATCAAGCACGATTGATGCGGGAGAGATATGATCGCTTCTCAAACACATTTCAAAGCTGCAAGGAAAACTTGACGTGAAACGTTTTGATAAACATTTCCCAACCCTACGCGTGAAATTTAGTCGTTGGAACCACAGGAAGATAGCAGAGCGGAACCAATACACTGCGACATTTAACATTAAAGCATGGAATGAACTGTCCCAAGCGATGAAGATTGAACACACGTTTCAAAATTGTAAGCCATGCCAGCTCAAATACAGTCATATTCAAGCATTATTCCCGGTAAAATCACATCGATACACAGGCTCAATGAAGGAAAACAATCCTCATGTTGCAAACACGACTATTGCGATCCAACTACCCAGTAACCAACCATGTAACACCACCACCACTCTCCGTAAAGCGAGCGAGACTGCAAAGTCATTGTACGACCAAGTAAACCCCATTTTTAAAAAGGTAACAGGCCATTCCCTTGTAAATGTGCTGACAAAGGTCAAAGATCTGAACATTGAGGAGAACTAATTACAGAAAATTCAAGGAAGCAGTGCAGAAAGAATGGGAAAATACATCTTTTATAAGGTAATGATATAAAAATATTCACATAGGTAAAGGTGTTCAACCAAGAAGCCGGGTAGTTTATAGTGAGGTAAAAATACCAGCCAGGTATAAGTAGTGAGATACCATACCCAGCCAGGATAACTAGTCCTGTACAAATATCCTATAATATCCAGCCAGGGTATATAGAGATATCATATACCCTAAGTCTGTGATCAGGGGTAAATTACAGGTAATTAAGGTAAAAATACCCAGCCAGAGTAGCTGGTGATATATCATTAGTGAAAACGAAATATAATTTTATTTAATAGATGCTTTGGAAATCGACAATCATTAGCAGGAAGACAAAGGGAAAGGTTGACAATTGGTTTTGAAAGTAAAGAAGATGCAATAGAACGCACAAGGCAGCAGAAACAGCAAGAGAAACAGAAAAGTCCTGTTGGCAAGTTTGCTGACATGGAATGGGATAAGGAAAGGACGAAAGATGAAGTAAACAGTTATGGAGATGACACTTTGGTCAACTGGTCTGAACTAGCAAGACAATTTCAAATCAAAAACAAAGCTGGAGAGATAGCTCAAAACAGTGGTCAAATTGCTATGGAGTGGCTAAAGTCAGAAGGTGTTAATGTGGAAAGATTAGGAAAAGAAGGAGAGAATGTAATGAGGGCAACATAAGAAAAAAGTTAAGAAGAGGTGCAGGTGGTGAAATCACTGTTCCTGTTCCTGAAAATAATGGTAAAGTGCTGAAGAAATTGCAAGAAAAAGTTTTGTCAGGCGAAATAAATGTTGGGGAGTAATAGTGCCAAGAAAGGTAATTAAATCTCAATTATATATTAATTACAATTAATGACAAGATCAAATGCACTTTAGCTTTTGTGATTCTAACTTCTAATATTGACATATATAGAAAAGCTAGCACTGTAAATGTTAATAAGGTAGTAAATGTTGTAGATTAACCCATTAAGGGGCAATGAGTGGGTTAATACACTTTTAACAAGACGGACCAAGTAAACTTTTAAGAATCTTTCATTTTTGTTTAGTATGAGAAGCTAGTGCTCAAAGAGGATGGCTCAATCGAGAAGTCTTCCTTTTTTGTGGAAGGACGCAAATGCGCACTGGTTGAGATCAGGAGAAGAAAGCTACATGAGTTGGAGAAATTTATGCGGATTAATGATGAAAAAGATGTGAATAGCATGAGTGTGACAGAAGTTGAGAACAGGTTGACAATGCTAAATGAGAGAAAAGAGGGTGAGGATGAAACAGATATGAGAGAGCGGCTGAAGGTAATGGAAAGAACACGGCATCTACTTGTATGGCATGACCTATCTACAGTTGCAAACCATTCCCACCTTGTCTTTATGGCAACTTGCTTGTATGACCAAGCCACATTCTATACCAACAGTGAATACGAAGCCATCACTGGAAAAAAGGTCAACATCCAGTCATCATCCTGTGATGAAGATCAATTGTGTTACATAGAGACCAGACTTGAGTTTTTAGAACAACTCTCAGATCCTATTACAACAACCACTGGTGTACCTGTTGCAGACAAGATGAGGTTCTTCCATGGTGACAGTCCTTCTCGTCAATATGAAGCTGGCCAACAGAAGGGTGGGAATTTCTACTGTGCCATCTGTGGTGCCAATGCTCATCGGGTGTATGAACTTGATTATGTGTTTCGTTGCCCACACGTATCATTGGAGGTTCGACAGCAGTTGGTGTTTAAAGGCCCATGCGGTGCAGCAAATTCTTTGGCAAAGTCAAATAAACCTTTCCATGGATTAACAAAACCCAACTTGATCAGGGAGTTGAATGCCAGATCAATCTACGAAGGAAAAAAGAAGAAAGAACTAGAAGATCTCTTGAGGGATGAACTGCATGGAGTTCAAAGAGTGCCAGCCCTACTATTTACCAGTCCCAACAAAACCTTAGGGTCAATTAACTGTGCTAGTTATGAGATTCTAGGTTTTGAACCCCTCCATGACATTGGGAAGCACATCGAAAATCTATTTTGTGAGCTACCAGACCATCTGCCACCCAATGAAGCTTCTAAGTTGAAGGCTGTTCTTGAATTGAGCATTGGGGGAAAAGAAACGAAACGAACCTTTGATTACCGCTGTGCTTTGATTGTTGTTTCCAATCAGCTTCGAGGCTCAGTTAATCCAAAGGTTCAATCGTTGCTTGACACCCTTGTAGAAATTCAAGAAATAGCCTACAACTCAGAAGCCAAGAGAACACCACGAGCAGTTCTGAGACTCCATAACCTTACCTTTCATCATGCAATGTTGTGCAGGTCAGTTATCGGATTTTTCCTGAAGCAAATGTCAACTCGGAAGTTTTATGGTAACTACTTCCACAACATTACAGCACATGCACCAATCCAGAACAGATTAATAAGCGGCCGATCTACAAACACAGAACAGGAAAGAGTATTTAATAGTATTACCAATATAACCCGAATGACATCATCTAACCATCCTGACCACATCATTGGTAATGTCTTTATCTGAGTCCAGGCTGAAAAGAAATTGAAAGCTGAACAACCTTCAACCTCCGACACACAAGAAGCTCATGTTTCCAAACTTGCATCTTCTCTACCAAATTTTGGAAACACTGTTATTTCTAAACAGATGCTAGCAAGAAATTTCAGATCTTGGCAAGTTCATCTTGAAAGGATCTGTGATTTCTTATTAGCAGGTGAAGGAATTTGGTGGAGAACATGCAACAATGGTGACATTGAGTTTTTTGATGCAAAGGGAAATCCTGAAGCAGTTCCTAAAGGACCAACTTTGCATCATTTTCGCTCCAGCAACTTTAAGAAAGAAGAGGCTTATTTGAAATGCTGTTGGCAAACCTGCTTGGAGAAAAAAATAAAAATGCCTATAAAAGTACTTCAGGTGGAAAATTCTGATGGTAATATGGAGACTGTCATGTGTACAGCAAATCAGGAGGATGAGGAAAGTATGAAAATTGGATGTGCAGATGTCGGTGCTGTGGATGAGATTGAAGGTAGTTGTGATGTTGTGGTTGATTGTGATGCTGTGGTTGGTTGTGATGCTGCGGTTGGTTGTGATGCTGTGGTTGCTTGTGATGCTGTGGTTGATTGTGATGCTGAGGAACACTCTGATGCTGCAGCTGGTTGTGATGTTGTAGTTGGTTGTGTTGACATTGTTCAAACTAGTGGTGGGGGAGAAAGCAGATGATTGTAATGGAAGTGGTGAGCAATATACTGTTGGACGTAATGTAAGGTTAGTTGAAGTTTCTGAAGAAAATGTTGCTTGTCTTGAGATTAATTGTCAGGAGGCCGATGAAAATGCAAATTCTGAAGCTGGTACCATGCAAACCACAAATACAGATAAAGGTACTTTCACCAACATTTGTATTTGACTGTCACATAGATCACTGTCGTCCATGTATGAACATATTTTGCTTAGGCACTTAGCATATTTCTTCTTGTTTATTAGAGAGATAAACAGAAACACACCAAGGCCAAAAGCTGGGTTTTATCTTAGGACTGACCGATGAGGTGATTCAGTTTGACAGAGCAAGAAAAAGATTGAGGGCTTCTCCAAAAAACACAACACTAATAGACACATACACAGACATCTTACCAGTCATGGAATCCAAAATATCTCAGCAACAAACCAACATCAAAGAACATTTAAAGAAAATAGAGCATCAATACTTCGAGAAAACTGGTAAACTACTAACATCAAAACAGTTGATGAAAAATCCAACATCCAAACTGCTAATGGCCAAAATGAAATACTGCAAAGCCCTGGTGTATCAGTGGCAGCTGGAAAAGAAATAATTTGAAAAGTTAAAAAAACGGCTCTTTTAAGAGCCACCAAATATATAAAAGAATCGTAAACGAAAAATCGATAGAATTCTTACCTTAATACAGCCGTCTCCTTTCCTTGTTTTCTTTTAAATGTTTTTACAAAAATACACGCTCGCTGATAAAAAATTATTCGTTATAAAAGCACGATTCATATATTTTACAATGCCAAACCACTGAAATCACTGTGTATAAAAAAACAGAAAGGTCGTTGCTAAGAAACAACGCTGGTCTGACATTGAACATAGGTCACCCAATCAGACTGTTGAAATCTATGAAATTAATATAGATTTACAACTTTTATAAGATTATCATTATTTACGAATTTATTGCGAAACAAACTTATTCTTTATCAGTATTTATTTAAAAAAATGTCACAAATGTTTATTTTAAATCTCATCACGATTCATTTACTTTAATAGAATAACTTCTCACTCCCGTCACCAGTCCCTTGCTGAAACGCGTATTTTCGTTGTTTCGCGCAAAATCAAACAATTGGCGCTAAAATCAATTTTGATTCAGGGACTGTGATCACAACTACTTGGTTTTTTTCTATAATACAACATATTCGAGTGCTTTTTTTGGTTTTGTTGCTAATGGCATAATGGGGAAAGCCAGCTACGAAGTAAGCCAACTGCAAAAGAATAGGCGAATGCGAAACACTTGCAAGAAGCGCAAGAGGGAACAGCAAGCGATGGCTAAACGCGCGGTTGCTGAAGCGGCTATAGCGCAGAAAATAAGTGATGGAGTAAAGGACCAAAAAGCGCTAGCTGAGAAATATTACACGAAATGGAAAAATATTTCAAAAAAGGCTGATGAATTAAGGCGTAGAATACCGGTACAAAGCCACATAAGAAAGGTACGTATAACGATTTTTCTTCATGTATAAGGGTTAAAATATATTTTGTCTTCAATTTTTGAATAAAGAAATGTATTATTAAAAGTCCCATGCAGCACCCTCAACCCTTTACAACAAAGAAAAATTTATTATATTAAGCCCCCCCCCCCAATTTCTATAATTAACAACTCCACCAATTACTATTTGTTTGATTATTTACACATTCACTTCTATTTCTAATGTTTGTAGATTTCAGTGGATGGTGCAGCAATTGGCAATACCTTATCAACCAAAATGATTGCTGCTTCAGTAAAACAAATTAGTGCAAGCGACTTGTTACCACTGGCAGAAAATACACTGGCTACCGCCCCTGTTGGCTCTGGAACCTATGGAGAGTGTGTTCTAAAAAAAATTAAGAGGCTCGGTGTGTTCTAAAAAAAATTAAGAGGCTCGGTGTAACTGTTCTTGAAAAAAAACTGCCAACATCTAACTTGCAAGCAGTTATGAATGAAGCACAATGTATGAATACACTCACTCATGCATCTATTCCATATCTATTGGGAGTACAGATTGAAGAAAAGCCTTTCTCGTTAGTCATGCAGTTTCTTGGTGAGGATACAGAATCTGTTACAGTTCATAAGCTGTTACATGCAAATCAAACAATGGCAAAACCATTAACACTCACTACAAATGAGTGGATTTCAATTTTGCTCGACATTGCAGAGGCTCTTTCTCATGTCCATAACAAAGGGTTTTTGCACTGTGATGTCAAGTTAAACAATGTTCTTGTTGCAAGGAAGAAAGGTTTTTTGATAGACTTTGGTAAAGCTTGCCAAATTTCTAGGCCAACAGCTCGAAAGTACACTTCCTTTTACAATCATATTGCCACTGAGGTTTTAAGAGGTTTCCCTGTCAGTATATCCAGTGACATTTTTTCACTTGGGGTCATTCTATGTAGTGTTGGAATAAAATTGCCAAATACCTGTATGGAGTCCTTAGGAAAGCAATGTAAACATTGCAAGCCAGCAATGAGGCCATCTATGCCAGAACTTGTAATGAGGGCACTCTGTAATTTTGCCTATATACAAAAATGTGTTACAACATGAATAGTATGTAAATAAACATTAAAATAATAAATTAAACTAGATTTCATGCTGTGCATAGTGAAACTTATGTTGTCAAGACTTCGAGTCTTTAGTCAGCAGGTTGTCAAGACTTAGAGTCTTTTGGCAACCAGTGGAAACTGTGTTACAGTATGAATAGCATGTAATTAAACATTAAAATGATAAATTAAACTAGATTTCGTACTGTGGGTAGTGAAAACTTATGTTGTCAAGACTTCGAGTCTTTAGTCAGCAGGTTGTCAAGACCTAGAGTCTTTCGGCAACCAGTGGAAACTGTGTTACAGTATATGAATAGTATGTAAATAAACATTAAAATAATAAATTAAACTAGATTTCATACTGTGAATAGTTGAAACTAACATTGTCAAGACTTCAAGTCCTTGGTCAGCAGGTTGGCCAGTAGAAACTGTGTTTATACAGTATGGATAGCATGAGTAAAATGGTTAATTGAATTTGATGCTCTGAAGCCTTCAAACCTTATCAATATCAAACATTTATGTGCATTAAATTAAAGTTGTAATCTTTGCTAATATATAGCGTAGTATAATTTCCATGTAAAGCTGTAAAAATGCTTCTCTTTGTATATTTCTATCTCTATTGAGTCTATTCTTGCACTTTGGCAAAATACACTAGAAGGCCAAAACAAATGCTTTGGAAAGCTGTAAAAACGCTACCCATTTTGCATTTACTTGTGACTCGTGTCTATGTATTATAGTTCTTTTGTTCTTACATATTTAATCTTTCGTATAAACAACGCCAGAATATGATATTTTATGATATTTATATTGATATTTGCCAGCTTTTGCAGAATATTCAAGCGTCATGATTATAAAATGTGTACAAGTAAAAATTATTAGCTAATAATTTGGTATATTAGTAATAAAAGTACTGACCTTACAAACACACGCAAGGTTCGAACCATAAAAAGAACATACCGTATATCGTATAAATATGCATATAAATCCGTACAAAATAGTTGATAAAATCCAATCATCATTTCAGCCATATTTCTCTCGTGCTTTTAACTAAACACGCGCCTCAAAATTGCGCGTGTTCCGCGCGTGCGCTATTTTCTTAAAACGTGGACGGAGCCAGGCATTAATGTACCTGAGCTTGCGATCGTTGCTGCACATTGTCTAGGTGTAAATTCTCTCACTGTAGGATCTAACTTCTTGGCTGTTCGGTCACAAGATATCTCCATCAGGTACAAATGCTGTATTGTACATTCCAGGAAAGATTTTCCAGCTCTCAAACACACTGCTAATACTATGCCATCTCTTCCTTTGATCAACTTGTTGATAACACCCATTTTCCATCTTCCACAATTATGTTAATCTCCCTTTATCAAAAGCACGTTGCTGATTATGGCTTTCATCTCGGTTGTTATTCTTCAAGTTGTGCCGCTCTCTCAAAGCTTTTAGGTACTCAGCTGACCATCTCGACCACCAGGTGTTTTCACAGTTGCAAGTACTTTGTTCTCTTTCTTAGATCAGCACTGACTTCATCAGGCTCTGCTTTCTCTGGTATCAAGCTAGGACATCCAACAATCATAGCATGTGGAGTAAGGGCAGGCATTTGAGAATCATCTTCAACGTAACTTAGTGGGCAGTTATTTAAGTTTGTTTCAACATCCAAAAGTACTTTTTCCAGTTCATTCCAGCGCAGTTTGGTTTTACCAGTGGTTTTGTAGAAGGCCTGCTTTACCAACCCCACCATCCTCTCAAGTTGCCAACCCACCATGGGGCACAGTACTCTGCTGACTAGGTTATCTATATGCTTATTCCACTTCAGGTCATCACTGATAATCATGCCAAGTAATTTACAATCTGAAATACGTTCAAGTCGATGATCTCCGATTGTCAGTGGCTGGAAATGGTTACTTTGTTTACCAAAGGTGATTTGAAGTTCCTTACATTTATCAAGGTTAAGATGGAGATTATTAGAGGTAGACCAGTTATTTGTATGGTCTACAGACTCTTGTATTTTACTTACCGCTCCTTTAGAAATGGTTTCTGACTCGGTTGTATCATCGACATATTTCCATAGACTTACACCAGGAGCTGCAAGGTCATTGATCATTAAAAGAAAGAGCCAAGGGCCGAGTTTAGCGCCTTGAAGAACTCCATATGGTACTCGGCCCCATTCCGAATAACAGTCATTAACCAATTTAATTCTTTGATATCTGTTAGTCAAAAAGTCTTTTAACCAGTTGATCACGCGATTATCCAGCTCCAATTTACGAAGCTTACTCATCAACAGATTGTCGTCAATTAGATCAAAATCCTTACCGTTGCTCCATTTCCGTTGGTGGCTTTTGACCAGCAATCAATCATGCTAATTAAGGCATTGGTCGTTGACGATCCTGGTATTGCGCCGAACTGGTTTTTGTCAAGGACAGAGAGGATCGGCTGGACGAATTGTTGCACTACAAACTCTTCAGCCATTTTGGACATAATTGGGGTTAAGGAGATGGGTCGAATATGTTTACAAACATCTTTAATGGGGTTTTGACTCAGGTATTGGGGCAACATCGGCTTTCTTCCAAATATCTGGGAGACGCTGTTCAAAGTAAGATGAGTTTATGATGCTAGTAATAGGAAGGGCCAGGACGTCCACGTATTCGCGTAGTAGCCAGCTTGGAATACCTTCTGGCCCAGATGATTTACGAGGATAATTATGCTGTTGATGCCATTACATACTAGGTCAGTAAAGTAAAACAACTTTCCATTATATGTTGACAATTTTGACAAAGTTGACCAGGGGATATTGCTTAAGTATCGACCAAGGGATTTTCGGAACAAAGGACAAGTGTCCTGAAAGGTGATAAATAAAGTTAAATAAATAGTACAATGTTCGGAAAGGCCAACGGTGGAGAACATTCGATTCTGTGTCGAACTCACTGATGTTGGTTAAGATGAGATCCAACGTTGCTTCTTGTCGAGTTGGAAATTTGACAACTTGTTTTAAACCGTAATGACGACATATAGTTGCAACACTAAGCCGATTAAAATCGCCAGCCAAAATAATCCCACAATTCAGATGATTAGATTCTATTTTCTGTAAACTGCCAAAAAGATAACTTTTCATATTCTCATTGTTAGCCGAAGGTGGATGGTATAGAACGCCACAAATAATTTTATGGATTTTCCTTGGTAAACGCTTTGGCTTTAATTCAACCCATATCACTTCGTGATCCACACTCTCAATATCGGTTAAACATATAAATTCAATTCCATATCTAATATAAGCGCATACACCTCCATGATTGTTTTTGAGCCGTCCTTCCAAATGATGGAGAAACAAGGAAGATTGACGATGTTATTCGAAATTCAATCATTTAGCCAAGTTTCTGTTATGCAAATAATATCGATACTTATAAAGCAAGATGACAAAGATGCTTGGAGTTCATCGATTTTTGGTGCCAGTGACATAACATTTGACAAAATCAATCCTAGAACCTGGAATCAATCCTTGATATTTTATATCTGCTCTCATTTAGTTTTTCTTTGACTTTCCTACCGCTTCTTGATCCCCGTTTGTTGATGAATCTTGATATTGGTGTGAATCGAACTATATTTATAAAAGATTGATATAAAAAACAGTGGGTCGGTCGTAAATTTCAGAGCAGTTCACCAGTGTACGTCAGGCGTTTAAAAGTTTGTCCAGTTTGATATATATGCTGCACGATACTCGTTGAAAAAACATTTCCTCCCTGTCACATGTACGGATTCTTAAGTTCTAGATGTATACACACAAACAATTTTATCTAGATATAACAAACTGTATATCTAGATAAAAACCTAGTAAAATATATTGCATATAATGCTTACTATATGCAAACCTCAAACGCTGCAGCTATATTCGGCGCTTACACTTCCAGTAATGATAGATTTGATTGTGCACTAATTTTCCGAATATTTTGGCAACAGCTGGAATAATTGATATTGGGCGGTAATTGTTCAAATCATTTCTCGCTCCGTTTTTGAAGACAGGAACAACCTTAGCAATTTTCCAACCATCAGGATAAATTCCCCGGTTGAGAGATTGATTGAATATTTTTGTCAATGAAGGGGCCAAAATATCAGCTGCTAGCTTCAAAATTTTCCAGGAATGCCATCAAAACCAGTGGCCTTGTTAGAGTTGACATTTTTAAGCAAACAAGTTACATCTTGAATTTCTATTTCGCTGAAAGAAAATACTGCGTTTGTAGGTTGAATAAAAGAGATGGGATCAATATTTGAGTTATCTATGTTTCTGCAAGATTTTCACCTATCAAAGTAAAGTATGAATTAAAAGCATCCAGAATAACAGGTGGATCAGTTATCACTCTGTCTGGATGTTTAATTTCTTTAACTGAAGCTATTTTATTGTTTTTATTGTTTAATAAAGAGTATTTAAAGCTATTTTATTGTTTTTATTGTTTTCAATAGAGAGTATTTTGTGTCTTGTCATATTGTTTTTTCAAATAATCCCTTGCTCTCATTTTTTGGACAACCGCAGAGGTTATCCATACAGACCTCTTTTTACCTGTACGTTCCTTCTTAAGAAGTGCATGCTTATCTAGGACTTGTGTAAGATTGGTTAACCATTGAGATCACATCGTATTAAGATCATCTGACAAGCAAGAATTTCCCCAATCAATCGTAGTTAAGTTGTTCAAAAATTTGCTTTCGTTAAAATGCTTTAATTGTCTTTTATGAACAAACAAATTAAGTTTTTCCCTGCCATGTGGTTTTGCGAACAATATGCGCTTACAAGATGGCGGCTAATTTTATAGCTCCACTTATTCTATTAGTTATAGCTATTTTTTATGCTCATAAACCAGATCATTTCTTCAAATATGCACATGAATCGTCTAACCTCAACCTGGTTGTTACTTTGGCAAGAAAAACTTCGCTCTACGTAGGATATGAAGCGTTCTTTCAGCGATGTAGATCAACGACATTGTGGACTTCGTCGAATTCTAAGCTATTATTGTTGTCCACTTTACTTTTGAGTGGTGACATCCAATCTAATCCTGGTCCCAACTGGAAATACCCATGTGGAGTCTGCTCTAAACCAGTAAAAGTAAACCAGAGAGGAATTCAATGTGATAAATGTGATATTTTGTATCATACTAAATGTTGTTCGATGGGCGACGAGACGTACAATACCGTAGCAAATGCATCATACGTTTGGCTCTGTGTCAACTGTGACCAACCTAGTTATTCTGAGCCTCAATCATTGATTGATTTATCTTCAAATAATTCCTTTGCCGCTTTGAGCTCGACCTCGTCTCCACATTCAAACCTAAATCAATCCAAATCGAGGTCAACTATTAACCACCAAAGAATCAATCATCTACATAAACCAAAAAAATCTAACAAGTCACAATATCTACAAAAACTAAAGGTATTAAATTTGAACTGCAATAGTATTCGAAGTCAACATAAAAGTGGTCTATTTAAACCCCTAGTGGATCAAGAGAAACCTCATATAATCATGGGATCAGAATCCAAACTTGATGAATCTATAAAAAACTCTGAGGTCTTCCCCAGGGACTACGAGATATTTCGTAAAGACAGACTTGATGTACATCCTGGAGGAGGGGTCTTTATTGCTGTACACAATTCAATTGTTGCTACTCATCAAATTCAACTGGACTGCCAAGCTGAGGCTTTATGGATTAAAATCCAAATAACCAATCAGAAGCCTGTGTATATATTGCTTCATTGTATCGTCCACCAGGAAATGATGAGAAACCACTTGAAGCCTTCAAATAGTCGTTACACAGATTGCAATCAAATGGAACTTTCCCTAGAATTATTATCGCTGGCGATATGAATGTACCAGACATTGATTGGAGCTATACATCAGTTAAGACAAATCCACAATACAGTGCTACAGTAAACCAGACAATGATCGATCTTATAGATGATCATGGTCTTACTCAGCTTGTAACTTTTCCAACAAGACAAGAATCAGTGCTTGACTTAGTATTAACTACCCATCCAGATCTTGTACAGAACCTTGCAAGTGTCCAAGGCATTAGTGATCACTCAGCCGTGTCGTTTGATTTGAATTTGTCTGTAAAACTTAACAAGAAGAAGCCACGTACAGTTTACAAGTTTGCTAAGGCTAACTTAACTGATATACGCAGGGAAGCAACAACTCTCAGTGAAGATTTCTTTGAAAGACAACCAGATAATATAAGTATCGAGAGTAACTGGGAATTTTTCAAGTCAGGTATTATGGACATTCTAAACAGAAGAGTACCAAACAAGAAGAGTGGTTCGTGGAGTAACTGCCCCTGGATGACAAGAGATCTCAAGACAGCCCTGAGGAAAAAGAAACGATTATATAATAACTATAAGAAATCAGGGAAGGCCTGTGACAAAGAAAAATACCGTGCATTCCAAAAACTGTTTCAAATCAACATGAAGAAGGCTCAGGATGAGTTTATAGCAGACACCCTCAACTCTGATCTAAAAGACAAACCAAAGAAATTTTGGTCTTATATTAAATCAAAAAGACAAGATCAAGTTGGAATTCCACCATTGAAGGAAAATGGGTTAGTGAAGACGGACAGTGCAAGTAAGGCAGAAATCCTAAGTAACCAATTTCAACAGGTATTTACACAAGAGGATCTAACATCTATACCAAATAAAGGACACAGTGAAATCCCGATGATGAGTTCAATATTATTTAATAAGGATGGTGTGGAAAAACTACTTAAGAACTTAGATAGCAAGAAAGCAAGTGGACCTGATAAAATACCAACTACATTACTTAAGGAAACTGCATCAGAAATAGCGGATGTTGTGACATTCCTATTCAATCAATCATATTGTTCAGGCCAATTACCCGAAGACTGGAGAAATGCACATGTGGTTCCAATATTCAAGAAAGGAGTGAAGCACGACCCAGGCAATTATAGGCCGGTTTCTTTGACGGCTGTATTATGCAAACTTATGGAACACGTCCTCTACAGGAACATAATGGAACATCTCGAGAATAACAACATCCTATTTTCAAATCAACATGGTTTCCGCAAAAACCATTCATGCGAAACCCAACTCTTATCAACAGTTGAAGACCTGGCACGAAATATAGACAACGGAGATCAAATAGACTTGCTAATACTTGATTTCAGTAAGGCTTTTTACAAGGTCGCTCATGGGCGCCTGATCAGTAAATTATCACATTATGGTATTCAAGGCAAAACACTTGCATGGATTGAGTCATGGCTTACAAATAGAACACAAAGAGTAGTAGTGGACGGAGTGTCATCAAACCCAGTTGATGTTACGTCAGGAGTGCCACAAGGCACTGTACTTGGTCCACTAATGTTCCTCCTGTTTATCAACGACATGCATGAGAACCTGGAATGCACTTTAAGGCTATTTGCGGATGATGCATTGTTGTACCGCAAAATCTCAGAAGATTATGACACCTCGGTCTTGCAGAGGGACTTGGATAAAGTGGGCTTATGGGCCGAAAGATGGCAAATGGTTTTTAACCCTACAAAATGTTACAAAATGTCGGTTTACAGGAAGAAGACACCGGTTCTTAAAGATTACACATTATACAACCAGAAACTCTCAGGTGTAAAGCACCATCCTTATCTTGGTGTCCAGCTGTCTGATGATTTACGGTGGAATCTTCATGTGAACAAGATTGTAAACAAGGCTAATTCAGTGCTCGGTTTTATAAAAAGGAACCTGTACTCCTGTTCTGAGGACACCAAGCGTATAGCCTATACTACACTTGTAAGACCTCATCTAGAGTATGCAGCAGCTGTGTGGGACCCTTATAGACAGGAGCAAGTAGACAAGATTGAAGCAGTCCAGCGTCGTGCGGTGAGATTTATAAAGCAGAATTATGACTGGAAATCTAGTGTTACAGAAATGAGACAATCTCTGTCTTTGGACCCGCTGAGCGAAAGGAGAAAGGCACATCGAGTAAAACTATTCTATTTATTAGTAAACAATAACATTGCATTACCATTACCTAATTATTATCAGCGATCAACACGTTATACCAGAAGTTATTCAAATAATACGTTTATACAACCTAAGGCACGCCATGATTATTATCTATATAGTTTCTTTCCAAGAACAATTAAGGATTGGAACAATATCCCAAATGACTTAAGATCTGTACATAGCTATCCACAATTTTGTAACAATTTGAATAGTTTTCTTTTTTAAATGCTAATCTATATTGGCATTATTAATTTTTCTTAACTAATTTATTGTATTTACATTTCATAGACATTATCTTCTTAAATTATTTTATTATATTTATATTTTATAGACATTTTATAGAGATTTTTGAATATAGACAAATAATTTATGTTAACTTATTTTTATCTCTTCTTGATACGAAAGTGTTGAAGAGCAATAAATGTAGATGAAGAAGCGAGTGATCACTTATACAAAGCGACTGGACACCGGAGACTGATATCTTGTCCGGGGTGTTTGCAACACAGAGATCAAGTAAAGACTGCAAAGTATTAGTCACTCGTGTTCGTTCCTCAATAAGTTGAGTAAGATTGAAAATGTCAAAAATATCCAAAAGCTCAAGAGTATTAGCGTTGGGTGTTAGAGTTAATAAATCACAATTTAGGTCACCGAGTAGTTACATTTTGGCGTTTTTAGAATGCCAGCCTTTCACTTTCTCACGTCGTTACGTAGATGACCTCCCTTTTTGCGAATCATGCTCAGTGCTATTAGCTATATTAGGGGCATGTGAATTTAATCGACAGTTTCCTGTGTTTGAACTCAATTAATTAACATCTATGTCATTTTGCTCTTGAATATTAAATGACTGATTTGACTGTCCAGCTGGGTCATTATGATTTGAATTCATATTAGAGGGATTAACTGCATGATTTTCCTGCAGATGATTCTTTCCCCTAACGCTTGATAAAGATTTCTTCTTTTTATACTTGCGTTTGAACTTGCCTTTGGCGAAGACAGACATTCTTCAACAAACAAAACTGACAAATCCTTATTTTTGTTTACCACACTTGATTTCGGATCTGAGTCTGTAATTGAGGATCCATTTCATAGGTGTTTCAAGGCACAATTATTCTCAATTTGAATAAGTCTAATGGCAGTTAACAGAGTAGACTTTTCTTCTTCGAGGCAATTAATACGAGAGTTTAGGTCAGACACAACTATTGAGTTCCATTCCACAACCATTAGGCTATTGAGTTCTTCCTTTAGATTGATGTTATCACTCCTGAGCGACGTGTTTTCCTCTTGTAGGTTTGCGCTTATTAAAACGGTGTCCAAACTACCGGGCCAACAAAATTTTAAATTTGCAAGGTGTTCAAATATACAGCCGAATTTGTTGTTAAAAGTGGCAGCCAGTTGATAAATTTTTGAGAGTAGCATTGCTTGTTGCAACTCGTCTTTGACATTCAAATAATTTTCTCGGTCATCGCTATCAAATTCAGTCGCTTTCTTGGCCTTGCTAACCAAACTTTCAAATGATTTTAGTAAATACTTATCTGGGTTGTTCCTCAGTACAACCAGCTTCTTTGATCTTTGCCATTTTACTGAAAATGCATTGTTACTTGCTGTAAATAACTTTACATCTCCACTAGGAGAGGACCATCTGCATGTTAAGTCCACAACTTCATTAAAATAGTTTTTCAGGTTGTTGAAATCCCCAACCCAGCGATAAGAATCTCCGTTAAACTTGGATTTACTAACTATGGATAACTTAAACTATGGATTTAGAATACTTAACAGACATATTTTCAATGTCAAAAATGGAAAATGGAAATGTGATGTGGTGAATCGTCGACAATCGCTGCTAAACTATTAGCTAACTGAGAAGAACAAATATCGCTGTTTCTAATATGACGAGATGAGCCTTGAACAACATGACCGTCCTCCATGATGAATATCGAATTCACATGGTGGTATTGACGCATTTACGCGCATAATAGTATACCTTACCTGTAATGAGGCAGAAAGTTAATATTAATTGTGGTAATTGCGGGGGAGTACATGTCAGACAACAATGCCCAGCTTATGGTAAGAAGTGTAGAGCATGCGGAAAGTTGAATCATTTTCAGAAAGTGTGCAAGTCCTCAAGAAAACCTTTCACAAGACCAAGGCAAAGACGACATGTCAACGAAGTCACTGAAAATCGGGATGGATATTTTGTTTGTGACTCACAACAACTGGATCAATATTTCACCCGAAATCCACAACACGCAACTAATGATGAACAGATATTTGTTATTGATTCAGTCTGTCCTAGTGAAGTCCCGTCACCAACGAATACCAAACCATGTCCTACACTAACGAAAGCAGCAGTTCTAGATGATTATAAAGATTTGTTTGATGGCGAGTTGGGTGAATTGCCAATAAAATACAAGATGAAACTGAATCCTGATGTTAAACCAGTTGTTCGACCGCCAAGACGGTTTCCAGTTGCATTTCAAGACAAAGTAAAGCAAGAGCTTGATAATATGGTTACAAAAGGAGTCATTGCGCCTGTAACAGATCCAACAGAATGCGTGTCCCAGATGGTCGTTGCAAGAAAGAAAGATTTAGATGCAATTCGAATTTACATCGACCCTAAAGATCTCAATGGAGCTATACAAATGGAACATTATCCAATGAGAACTGTCGACGAAGTAATAGCTCGAATGCCTAATGCACAGTACTTTACAACCTTAGATGCTTCTCATGGGTTTTGGCAAATACCCTTGGACCACAAATCTGCATTGAAAACAGCATTCAATACACAATACGGACGTTTTTATTTCAAGCGTTTGCCGTTTGGTATAAAATCAGCTCTCGAGGTATTCCAGAAAGCTATGGATCAGATGTTCACTGGTTTGCCATGTGAGATTATAGTTGATGATATTCTTGTCTGGGGGAGGAACAGAAGGAGAGCATGATCGTAATTTCCTTCAAGTTTTGGATCGAGCATGAGAAGTTAATCTTAAGTTGAAGGTGAAGAGATTCAAGTTCAAGACGGCGGAGTTGAGCTACAATCAGTGACATTAGAATTTGGGACACTTGTATAGACAGAGTACATTTTTACGTGATCTTAGAAAATTAACTTGTAACCCCCCTTGTTGTTTTTTCTGGTGAAAAAAATGTTGGCAAACAAATCCAAGGCAATGGCTTGTCCCGTGAAGGGTTTATTTCAGCATACAACATTGAAAAAGGGGGGGAGGAGGAAATGTTGCCTTTCCAGGCTAAGCGGGTCCAATATTTATGTCACTGATTGTCCGAGTATTTTATTGCGTTATCCGCAGGCACTTAAAAGACTGTAACTTTAAAACCAAGTATTGTAACTTAATGAAATTTTTAGCAAGTAATAAGAAGCAATTAAGCTAATTATACGTCGAATAAATTCCATTTTTAATTATATTGTGTAACAATATTTTCATTTAAACGTACAAACATGACACAAATTCATGACTTAACTGCAGAGCAACAAGCTTTAGCACTCTTATTGAGGCGTGAATTCAAATATTCTTTTAGTGAAATTGCTTTAAAAACAAACATGTCAAAGTCAAGTGTGCTTAGAGTCATTAAAAGCTTTGATATGAAAAAAAAGGTAACGATAATAAGTTAAAAAAGTCTCGCCAAGGTCGAAAAAGAACATTAATGCAACGAGATGAGCGTAAACTGAAGAGAGCAATTATGCAACTCCACGAAAGAAGTCCAAACTTCACAGTTATGGAGGTAGTTCAACGTAGCGGCATTTCACCAACAAGCGTGACTTACAGAACATTTCTTCCGTATGTGAAACGGCTAGGATATGGATATTATCAGAGTCGAAAGAAAGGTGTTCTTACGAATAAAGATTTAAAAATACTGTTAGTTTAAAAATAGTGTTTGGCGGAAAAGAGGCGAAGGATTGCTATTAACTACCAAAGGAGTAAAGAACTTGCTGGCGGTAAACGATTGCATTTGCTTGTTGCTATTATGGCACACAGGCACGGTGTTATTTGCGCAGAACCATATGTAAAGATGGACGGCCCATATTTTGCACGCTTTATACGCCATCATTTCCCCATTCTATTTGACATTACAAAAAACGATAATACCAAACCGAAATTATTTGTAATGGATAATGATCCTTCACAGACCTCTGCTGTTGCGAAAAAAGCTTTAAAATCTATTGGAGCTAACATGCAAGTTATTCCAGCCAGATCACCTGACTAGAATCCGATTGAAAATTTATTCCATATTGTTCGAAAAAGAATGGAAGCAGAAATCTTGCAGAAGAACATGATACGCCAGTCATGGGATGAATTTGTCGAAAGAGTTAAGCTGAACATTTGGTCTCTCTCACAAGAATATGTAGATAAGACAATTGCAAGTATGCCAAGGAGAATTAAAGATATTCTTAAACTTAAGGGAAAACAAACAAAATATTAGCTACTGATTAGATATAAGTCCCGGCCGCTATAATTCCTCAATGCATTACTGTTGTATTACATATAGGGCTTAGCTTAGCCTAATTAAAACAGTCATAAAAAATTGCGTATATATATATATATATATATATATATATATATATATATATATATATATATATCATGCTTATATATAAAGTTCATGCATATAGATCTATTAGTATATACGGGCCAAATACCAATATTTATACCAAGTAACCATTTGCCCTCTTAAAAATGATAAATTATTTGAACAAGTAACTGCAATTAACCACAAGTAACCATCCGTTTAAAAACTACAATGGTATAAAGTCAATAATATTTACATCAATGGTTAGTTGTGGTTACTTGTGGTAACTTGCACTATGATGCAGATCATTTGTGAACAAATATCAAATTCAGCATGTGTGTGTAACGTTAGAAAGCCGTGTTGACTTTGTGCAAAATAACTGTGCATTTTATTTCAAAAATTTGAATGCCTAGAGTCGGTTACTTGTGGATATGTATACGGTTAACATGCATGCATGCGTGGCTGTGCTATATTTAGACTTCCCCCGATTACTCGTTACCAATTAGATTGTTCATATAATTCGGTTTGAAAAGCAAGACAGTGCATCCTGTAGAGCGTATTTGTCGACATGCTTTAGCTTTAATGTTTATGTACTATGCACATGCTAGCAAATATGTATCATGAATATATTAAACTAAAAACTCATAGTCATCAAGGATAAGGCGAGGAAAGCATGTTGTGCACAGGTCGACTTCTCTTTGTTCTTCCTCTGGGATTTGTCGGTTGAAATTGAATATTTTCCATCTTATGGCCATCATCTCTGTCTCTCTTTCGTCTACAATGCCGCCTTTGACGTAGACAAGTTGGTGTTTACTTGTGCTAAAAATTGGCGTGTCTTTGTCGAACACAATGTCGTGCGCGAAATGACACTTGGGCGCAGGTAAATGGACCAACTGACCTTCGAGCATGAGAAGTAGATCATGCCAAGCGATTATCTGTGGCGACCAACAGAAATCGTTAAGGAAGACGACCTCGGCTTTTTCAGCACCCACCCATGCAAAGCTTGTAGATGCCGGATTGGTGAAAGTATTAAATACTTTGTTCAGCAGATTGAGGAGAAACGTTTTACCGCAGTTCGCCGGGCCTGCCAACATAATATTCCGGAACTTCCCACGGCCTTTCGTTAACAAATCTTTAACGCAGTTAGCAAAATTGTCCACAGAGATGTTGTTATTTGCTAAAAGTTGCAACGCACAGTAATGCCATTCATCAGAAGTATCGCATGTGCATCCAAGTTGACGGGCATCTTGAAATAATTCAATGCGGGTTTAGCCTTTTTACCCTTCGACGTTTCCTGGGTATAGTTACGTATTTATCAAAGTTTATACCGAAGTTGAGTGAAATATCAGCCCCATTACGTGAATCACTCTGTGAGGGTGTATCATGGTCTTGGTGTGATAAGCAACAAGAAGCGTTCGACAGGATTAAAGTCGCCATTACCACAGCCCCAGTCCTCCAATTTTATGATGTGCAGAAAGAGGTTACCTTGATGTGTGATGCCTCAAGTCATGGACTAGGTGCAGCGTGTTTACAAGATGGTAAGCCGGTTGCTTATGCATCTCCAGCGTTGACAGCGACCCAGAAAAAATATGCTCAAATCGAGAAGTAGTTACTGGCGG